CATCCCACGTCATCTTCTTGTGCAAGATCACGGAGTGTGGGGAAGGGAGAGATGGGTAGTGGTCACCTGCTATGCATTAGTACAGTGTCACGCATCGATATGTTCAAGACAGACCTGTGAAGAAGACTCTCTCAAAGTCAGTGAACGCACCAGGTACAACTTCGTTGCCATCTGGCACCTCAACCAGGTGGTGTTCTAAAATCGAACGGCCGGGTTGCTGCCAGTATGGGGCAACGCTGTTCAATGGGTCGATCCCTTGGCTATAAGCGTTGATGTTCTGTGTGAGTGACGGATAACGAGTGAAGCGGAACTCGGAATAAATCTAGGCCAAATAAATGTTAGGAATGACTGGACAAGTGATGACTCGAAGATAGGAATACAGACCCAGAATGCAGCACTCCCGTTCTTCCTCAGCACCCTTGCGAGCTCAGGCCACATTTTGTTCCAATCGAACCAATGGCATGCCTGGGCTGCAACCACACAGACATCATGAACAAACAGTACTATCAGGTTTATCATATCTAACACACGCACCAGCAATGACTAGATCCACACTGCTATCCTCCAAGAATGTTAGACTCTCTGCGTTCGCCTGTATGTACTCATATTGACCAGTGTTCTCTGGTGTATTCTTGAGGGTACCTTGGGCAACTTCGATCATCTTAGAGCTTGGGTCGACGCCAGTAACGCGCTTGAAGGGTGTGAGCTCGACTGTCGCTTGACCTGAAATCCCGAATGATCAACATTAGGTCGAGAGTTCAAGCCCTCCATATTGAGTACAGCTAGAACTGACCCGTCCCACAACCAAGGTCCACTGCTCTATCCCATCTTGCACCCTCGTTGCGCTCGTGGTACCGGAATATGAAGTCAAACAGGGACCTAGGGTAGGTAGGCCTGGAAGTCGCATAGATGGCGGTGTCGAAAGAGGAATTAGCAAAAGTCGCCATCGCAGAGGCAGCGAGTGTCCACGTAACAGACGATAACACTTAGGGACTATTCATGAGGACATACAGGGAATATAAATACTCGAAGAGCGTGTCAGATGGTCTTGAGATGACAGTCGATGTAAATATGGTCGTCGGTGCTATCGGAAGTACTTCCGAGTTCACTTGGGGATCTGAGCAAGAAGTACTTGCTCGGGGGAAAAGTTATTAGGGAGCTCAGTATTAAAATTCCCAACACCCAGAATAAGTACTTGATCTTGTACTTCGGCCGGGAGCACTGGCAGCAGGCTGAGTTGTGAAATTTGAAATTTCCTCCCAACCACATTCGGAATTTGATTTTCGTACCAATCATTTTTCCTTTGGTAAGTACCGGTGACTCTGAAACGTGCCATGGTAGCGTTCAGCGAATCCAAGAAGTCCGCTGTTGGCTGTTACCGTTCTCGCGTTGGCCCCGTGCTGATTGGGCTAGGTCTACAAAATCTGCTCAGTGATATATTGACGGAGGCCCATCTGGTCCAAGTTGGTCACCTACAAGCAGCGACTGCACCAGTACCCGTTTGCACTCTACCGGATGTCGCCAATTCACATACAGAAGCCGGACCAGTGACTACACCTGCCATGCGAGACCTACCATGCTTGTCAACATATCGAAAATGAAAAATTCATCCGAATGGTCTCCAGCGACACCACCGTCTTGTCCTGACCCGATGGTCTACATCTGAACACGTCTTTTTGGGGTTGCAGACAAAGATGTGGAATACCCTCACCCTCTATGATGTATGGAAGATTGGACTCGATAAGAACCGCGCAGAGTAGGCGTAATACAATTGATGGTGCGTCCTTTGTCATGAGAATGTTTTTCATCTTCACAATTACTCGTATCCAGCTGCCTACTTTACCCATCATACTTCAATTTATTGAAGAGTTACCTTGTGGTGTCCCTAACATGTCTACGTTTCACGAGCTGTCAATGACTCGATATGTCCGCGTTATTTCCTGTCATATTGGTTTGCTGTTTGATAACTTCCCTTTTGTCGAGACAACAAAATCTTGGTTTAATCACAAGGCAACGACATAATGCTGTGATCGCCTCTTGGATGATTTGTCTGTTCTAAATCTACTGCGGTCTCCCAGACTTTCATGTACATGACTTGCTCCCCCATGCGATATGCTATCCCGACGAGCATCGACAATGTTATCACGCCCGTCTGCTTTAGCATTAAAGTATCCGAGCCCGTTCTCGATTTCTCATGATTGAAAATAAGAATAAACAGCGATCATTTGACGAGCACAAGCCTAAGTCTATGTAGTACAAAACAGAACGAATAACGGGTGTTGAAACCCAATACAGTCTGCAGCGCTCAGCAGCTGAAGCTGGTAGTGCCGAGTATAGTGCATAGCATTGGAAAGAGCATCAAAAACATCACGGTCCGCACCGCTCAACAGTTGAAGCTGGCGTGCTTGGTATCATACACAACACGAGCGCATAGCATGGGAAAAACGCATCGAAAAACGGCTCGAAGTACCATCTACTTCTGTTCTGTCAAGTCCTTTGCTGCAGGCTGTTGGTAAAATTCGACTTCACAATGAGGCGAGAAACATACACAAGCGATTTTCAAGGATGAACTCAAGAATCCTCTCCTTCAATTTCTCTCCATCGTAGCCTTGACAAGAAATCTCTGCCGCCCCTTTCTCCACTGCGACAGCCGTCGGAGATTTCAGGTAGTAGTCTACGGCAGACTCGATGCACTGCCAGTTCTTTCGGTCCTTCCGAATCGGGAGAAACGCGGAGTACTCGAGGGCGATAATAGTAGCTGCTTCCTGTAATTAGAACTACAGCTAGTCATACAACGAGAAACTAACCAATGCCAGTCTGAATACTGATGTTTGCAGCAGTGGTCGATGATCCCTTCGCTGCCTATTGCACACTCTTACAGTGCTGAGAATCGATGCGGAGGAAATCTAACCTACCAAAGGCCGAAGGACGCGGATAATGTCATCTCTCTCGATTGTGGCCTAGCCATAGGTTGTAGGTGTGAGTATCAGAATTAACTTCGACAAAGCGAAGTACTTGCCGCCTGTACCGGGAAAGGAATGTCAGAATCATGAGGTTGTAAACTTCCTGACATCTGATTAATAATAGAGACGCACTTTCTATTTGATTGACCATGACAATTGTGAATAATCAACCACCAGACTGTACAAAATGACCACTGTGCCCGGGTAACTTACAAACTGTCAGAAGTTGGAACAAGATGAGTATCATGTAATGGTGAAGATGTGCCATCCAGGACGTACGAGCTAATCAAGAGTCTTGGTCAGTGGAGTACTATCATATCTAGACAGGATGTGATTAACATACATTCTGCGAACATATCACGAACACAAGGGATTATAAGGCTAAAATTCTTAGCGATTGAAACATGCTCACACGCTATAGAGTGAAAGAGCCGGTCAATATGGTTAACACAATATATACACTACGAGGTGCTGAAATGACTCACATTCTGCACGGGACAAGAGAATATGCAAGGTGAGTGAACATGGAAAACAAGCTATCAAAGACGGATGCTCAACGAACTATGCATTATATGAGTCATGATGATTCGACTCGTCAGAATAGAAGATGCTTACATTAGGCTATGAAAATGAGTTAAACATCATTATACTGTTCAGTGTCATTTCAATACAAAATATGATCAAGACACTTACCACCTGCAAAAACAACAGTAAGATTTGAGACTTGTCCATATGGGTCACAGATGGAATACGATCAAGGCACTCACGCTCTGTCAACAGGCGAGCAACAGCAAGGTATAGCATCATGAGCATAGGTTGAGGACTAGAGACTGTCAAGGCACTTGCCCACTGTCAACAGGCGAATGGCAACAAGGCATGGAGATCATAAGCATGGGCTCAGGATTAGAAACCATAAGGTTACTTACAATCTGTCAACGGGCGAGCAGTAGTAAGGCATAGGGACCATGAGCATGAGTCGAGGACTAGAAAGCATCAAGGCACTTGCATACTGTCAACAGACGAACAGCAGCGAGGAGATTATGAGCACAGGTCATGGACTAGAAACCATCAAGACACGTACGTCCTGTCAACAGGCAAGAAACAGGAGATCATGAGTATGGGTCAAGGACTAGAAAGCATCAAGGCACTTGCATCCTGTCAACAGGCGAGCAGCAGCAAGGAATGGGGATCATAAGCACGGGGCGAGGACCAGAGACCATCAAGGTACTTACTTTCTGTCGACAAGCAAGCAGTAGCAAGGTATGATGATCATGAGCATGGGTCGAGGATTAGAAATCATCAAAATGCTTACAAACTATCAACAGGCGAGCAGCAGTAAGGCATGGGATATGAGCATGGGTCGAGGACTAGAAACCATCAAGGCACTTACGTTCTGTCGACAGGCGAGCAGCAGCAAGGGGATCATGAGTACATGCCGAGGACTAGAAACCATCAAGGCACTGACCATCTGTCAACAGTCGAGCAGTAGTAAGGTATGGTATCATGAGCATGCGTCGAGGACTAGAGAGTATCAAGGCACTTACCCACTGTCAACAGGTGAGCAGCAAGGTATGGCGATCATGAACATGGGTTGAGGACTAGAAACCATAAAGGCACTTACCCACTGTCAACAAGCGAGCAGCAGCAAGGTATTGCGATCATGAGCATGGGTCGAGGACTAAAAATCATAGAGGCACTTACAGCCTGTCAACAAGCGAGTAGCAACAAGGCATCATCAGCATTGTCCATGCTGTTCGAGCTTCATAAACCACAATCTTACCAGCTGTTATCAATGGACAACTACAATAAGGAAAATATATCAGAATGTCTACAGCTTCAGCATGTCGATATTTACCATCCGTGAGTACCATTACCAAAGCGTTGTCAGATTGAATCAATCTCTGTCTTACTTTGAGATGTGGAAACCACTTAGCCATGTCAATCGGATCGAGTACAAAGTTGAATCCCCAACGTGCAGAATAAACAAGTTCTCTAGATGATGTTGAAACAAAAATACATGACTTGCAACTCTGCGACTCACGCGATAGCACATTTGATACAAAGCTCCATGTTTGATTGTTGTGTCGAAATCAAGCACAACTGCAATTCTTTATTGTCCAATGCGATAGTGGTATGTTCCAGTAGAATGTTACAGTTTGTATTTGGTCTGTTCATATCTATGACAGTGACTGATATCAGCTTTGACATGGGACGAGTCAATCTGAACCACTTACTCTGCAAGCGCACATAGGACTTGGGACGAGCCCGGTTTTTAGGGTTGCACAACCGATCCAAGACATTTGTCTTAGTGAACAGTTCCTCGACGCCCTCGGCAATCCTCTTTGAGCGTTCTTCGCCCGATACCCCTTGTAGTTGCTTCTTGATTTCACCATACACAACTGGACGCAGAGCTTCGAACTTGGTGAACACCACGACCACGGGAACTGAAGATCGATCATTTAGTCCAAGCACGGCAAGTGATAACGATGTTGCAAGCTCACCATGCCCGGTGTCGCACTCCAAGAAGAACTTCTCTTCCGACCGCTGGAATGTTCGACAATGGTCGTCCATCGGAATACAATACCTGATGGCAATCAATAAGTGTGGAACGTAAGAAGAAACTTACTTGCCAGATAGCATGAATTCTCTCCTCCAATTTCGTCGCGTGTACGCGGTCGGAGATAAATTTCTTCATCTTCTCGATTTCTTCTTCAGAACCTGCTTCGAAACCGCACGAGTCGTGAAAGACGAAACCGGGATTGCTTTTAAAGACCATTTCATTTGCGATTTCGTGAGTTCCACGCTGAGCGTCTATCAGCACATGTATTCCCTCAGGGCAAATAGTGCACACACCTTGATCGAGGATTCTACGACGGCAGCATCGATCTACCCACAATTGATAAATGATATCCTGTGCATGATATAGATCCTCACTCGCACCTTCTTTCCTTTGGTATCGTAAATCTCTGGGCGATCCATGGTATTGCAGACCTTCTGAAGGATGGTTGTTTTGCCTGCGTTTGCTCTCCCTAAGATTAGAACTCGGAAGCGCACAAATATTTCTCTGAGGTTCTGGGAATCGATGGTTGCCATTGGGAGATCTTGATGTGCGTCCTGAATTTGGTTTATCGTGAAATTTGCACTGTCGTACAGAACGAGATTGTGGTGAGATATGACAGTGAACGAACACAAAGTAAATGTTCCTGTGGCTTGTGACAAAACAGCTACACACAGCGTCTATTTCTTGTCTATCTCCCTGCGTTAGGCAACTGACGATACCCTCGCACAGACACGAAGTTGCAACTGTTCAATTGTTCATACGATAAAGCACAAGGATTACACAATAAACGACGCCGAATCATGAGGACGTTGATAAATATATAAACTATAATGAACAATCAGAATATGGCGGAAATGACAGAATATCCCACTTCCCTACCCGTCTGGCTGAAAAGTAGTGATATCGGAAACCTCTGTAGATGGGGGTGAGCTCGACCCCCCAAGGTCTGCCAGATGATTGATCCTTGAGACGTATGAGAGCCAACAAGAGCCAAGAGCAAGTCAGGGTATGGGGCCCCCTCTGGAATGAGTGACATCCCGTGGTGCTTGACAGGGTCTGCACGTTTGAAGTCCCCCCAGAAGATGTTCGGGTATGAATTGAAGGTTGACAGTAACCCCCGCGCACACTGGCCGAACTCAAACGTCGACCACACTCGTTAGTACTGAGGGAAAGGCCCATGTAGCGGGCTGCAGGAGCCTGTGTATAGCTTGGGGCAGGTTTGATACAAGTCCCCGAGCGAGTCCGACTGTCCAACGGTCCAACGTACAGTATAAATTGACGCATATATTGTCAAGTAACAGGGAAGATGTACCAGACAACGTACACTTAGATTCGGGGGGCTGGCGTGTGTATTGCTGTCCGCCCCAAGAATCCTTCAATACAGACTCCTGAGAAGAATGGACATGACTTCTTGTAACTTCAAGAGTTGCCAGTGCATGCAGTAGCATCCGGTACCGTGCGCCACCGTTGAACTGGGCCCTCCTTCAACTCTTCCCGTCCTTGTGCCTACTGTGATGAGTAATGTCGTTCAGGCTGGCTCCTTCTCAGTTCATAGCGAGCTCTCTGGTGTCTTTCGACAATATCGAAATCACATTGAGATCGTATAGCGTCAACGGTCGTGATGTAAGTGATGAAGTACATCACCCTGCGCCTGGAACGCACGAAATAGTATGCTTTGGCAAGGATACAGTGAGCATGAAAACTTGCGGTACAAGCCAAGACTCACTAATTTGAAAGATATTCCTGACTGCATGCCTTGGATCCAGCCATTTCGAAAAAAGTCCAAACGGGGTGTAGTGCTGAATGCTGAGTGCATGGTATGGGCGAGATCATCTCTGCTACTTCCTGCCAGTGCGGTGAAAATCCTCTGGGTGGCCTAGTATGCGGCTATGCATTCTCGTGGATATAGTGAATAAACCGGACAAACTTGAAGTAACTGTTGTATGCGTAGGGTGTTGTAATAGCCCTTCGAGTCTGCGAGCAGTGACTTTGCTGCAGCGTAGAAACTGTGGTGCTGAATTGAAATACCGTACATTCCATGAGTCGGAGAACATCCCTGAAACCGCTCCTCTGGCGCAGAAAGTCCGGCACGCACTAGTAGCGGCAAGAACGGCGGCAAAGCTGGCAGAAAATCTGGGAATCCGAATTTCCGGCAGTCTCCGGCGGAAAGGGCGGTTTCAGTGACCTTCTGATGAGTCAGGACTTTCTATTTTTCGTGACTCAAGTGTATGTAAACGTTTTTATGTAAAAGAAATGTAATGTCAATAATTCAAACTAAACAGTAAACAAGGGACCTTGGCTCGAAGTACCATCTACTTCTGTTTTGTCAAGTCCTTTGCTGCAGGCTGTTGGTAAACTTCGACTTCACCATGAGGCATCAGTAAACTGGTGAGACTCAGATATTCCTAGCCGAAATGCTCTTTCCTAGACATGACGTTATAAAACAATATAAAGCAATATAAAGTGATGTAAAGTAATATATGCCTCTGGGCCTGGCCTGATTACAATGCTTTATATTGCTAGATATTACTTTATATTGTAATATACAGGAAAGAAGCATTGCCCTTGGAAAAAACTGCAATATATAGTCATATCTTAGTTTCACTGGTTTACTGATGAGGCAAGGAGCATACACAAGCAATTTTCAAGGGTGAGCTTAAGAATCTTCTTCTCCCTCGTAGCCTTGACGAGAAATCTCTGTCACTCCTTTTTCCACTGCGACAGCCATTGGAGATTTCAGGTAGTAGTCCACGGCACACTCGATGCACTGCCAATTCTTCCAGCGGTTCTTGTGAATCGGGGGAAAGGCAGAGTACTCGAGGGGGATGATAGTGGCTGCTTCCTGTAATTACATCAGTGAATTCATGAGTTCACAATATTGTAGCCATGGTGACTATAGAAATATATAATTCTGCTTCTGCCAAATATATCTATTTATACACCAATAATTTTGACTTGCTAGTACATATGTATGGATGAATGCAAATCTATGCTACACTGAGGAATTGGTGACAACATTGGGACATTGGGACATCCCCACCAGCAAGGGACTATGGAGGAATTGTATCCAAGTCGTTAAACATGTTCACCTACTGTAAATTAATTCTTCAATGATAAACCTATTTATGACTTTATCATGGAAAGTAGCGCTAGCAGTGAACATCAAATATATATTAATGTTGGAGTCTGTGACAATGTTATGACCTTGTACAATTACGGCATAAAAGTGAATGGTGGGCAATTGTTCCTAATTTGTCAAGCATCTGCGTTTTCCGTCGTGTGTGTTTTGCATTACCTGACAAAGGATACATATGTAATATGCATAATATTGCTACTGGAACACAATATAAAATTCTCAATGCAAAATGACTTTCGCACTGGTCAACAAATTTAGAGCAGTTCTCAATGAAGGCATGGCAGCTGGTCTTCACAACATTGCGGGGATTTTCTCTTTAATCCAAGCAAGGTCTTTTTGATACTTCAGAAGTTCACCGCAACAGCAAAGACGGGAAACACAATTGAATACCCTCCTGCTAGATTGATCAGAATCGTGCCCATAAGTACTATATACAGGATGTAAAAGCTGATCGTCTAAAAGCTGATCGTCGTCCTACAGTGTTCCGTCATCCTCAGAGATATCATTCGAGATCCCCCTCACTTGGAAGATTGCATATCACCTCACACAGGAAATGATTGAGAGTATTTCATGAAGGGCATTTCTGGTTGAGCTTCATAATTAAGAACAGGAAAAAGTGGAGATACGTACCAGTGATGGAATCATCTTTAATCTTGCCATAGACTATGGCATCTCCGACAGACACAAAGCCGGATTCAGAAAGCACGACAGTAGCCTTGATCACCGGATCAACTGTGCCGTGCTCAGTAAGATTATCAATGGCCTCGCAAATGCCAACATTCTTTGCCTCGAGGATCTCGCAGGAAACCACTAGGAACAAAGTTAATAAAATATGAACATTTGTATGTAGGGAACACACACGACATGACTTCATTGGGATAGTTCAGTATCACTGAAAAATCATCTTTACGCTTGAACATTAAGAGCCTTTTTTGCACCACGCCTCGACCTAGCAGGTAAGACTGTCATGTGAATCGTTCACATGCCTGAATTAGACACGAGGTACGACACCTGGATGTCATGCATGAGGACATCAGTTACACAAATGTCCTTGGTCTTGAATTGATGAAAGAGGGAAGCTCCATAAAGTGCTGCGCCAAGCATAGCGGATTCATCAGCATTGACATTGAGTGCAATGCGATCACTAATAAATGTAAACTCCGATGGTCCAAAAACAAAAAGATATGCAATGCTCACTTGCCAACAGCCGCACTTGACCATGGGTGTGCATGAATTTCCACCTTTCAAGATAACGAATGAGATATTTGCCTGTAAGTGTGTCAGACAATATTTGCAAGACAAGCCACGGGCACGCATACCAATGAAAGGTCAGCATTCGCAAGTGCATCATAGGTGGGTCTCGCAAAGCGTGGATGAAGGTCATTACAGATGTCCTCAAATTCCGAGCAAGCAACCTTAGTCTTGAAGTCAATGTCAAATGCAACACTCTCCACCTGAAAACTGTGAGTATCAAGACTACATATTATATTTAGCCAGCTTGCTTACTGCCGACGTCGCATCTGAGTTAGCACTGAGGATAGCATTGACGCATCCAGCCTCCTTCCAAAGTTGAGCTATAGTGCGCCTATCCTTTTGGATATCCTGGCGGTGCTTTGACATAAATTTGTCGCGCGTATTTCGATCATGCCCAATGCTCAGAACATTGAAATGCATGTATGACGCCTTCGTCTTGGGCTCACCAGTTGCAGCAAACGAAATCACGGTGACACGTGTCAAAGATACACCGGCGTCGTAAATCACATAGTATTCAGGAGTGGTCGAAAAAGTCCTCATCATAGCGTAGTTGACTGCTACAGCCGTGGTGGAAATGTGAGTGGTGGATACAGAGGTGTATCAGAGTTGAATGATACACTTGTAGGGATGAGAATGGGTCTTCAGGGAAACAATACACCTGTGTCCTGTCAGACCAGGGGCAGAAGGTTGTGGAGAACGTGGCACTCACAATGTTCGCCGCGCCAGACCCAAATGATCTTTCCTCTTTCTTCCATGCTATGGAGGACTATACCTTCTGCTTGAGGGACTTGTTCGCTAACCCATCTCGTATGCAGAAAGTGTGGGATTTGGTCAGTCTGCATGAGGTCTATACAGACAAGTCACAGACTCATCATCTTCTCCCCGCCACGTTGCCCGCTGTGCCCACAGACAACATATCATCAACTGCAGCTCCACCGCTGCCAAATATTCCAGGTGCCATTCTGCAGATGTCATCAACTGGACTCGTCGTTAATTGCACCTACTGATATGTGGTGATGTCAGAACAGATAACCCGGAACCTGCCGGCAAAACACACCTAGACGTGTTCCAGACTTTGCCCAGACGTGTCCCCTAGACTTTGAGGCAGAGTCTGAATCATTCCACAACAAAAGTATGTATTCATTCGCATTCGATTCAATCTTTCATATACAAACTCTCTCTAGTACTACTATGAATGTTAACAACAACGCTAATGGAGCCAGAAATCACAATCATGAGGTGCATCGATGATGTTCTGACATTGGCTACTCACCAATACTAATTGATAACCAACAGATTCCTCGATACCTTCTCCAACATGCACTGAGGCCTCGGGAGGTCAGTTTCACGTTGATGGAAAGGCAACAGGTAAGTGATTTATTCATTTTGAAGCTACCATAGGGACATCGTTTAGGAATCAATGTACATTGTTTGGGCTGCTGCGCGAGGTCGCGTGCGCCAGAAAGTTTATTATCCAGGATTGCTGCTCCCTCCCTATCCGTTACCACCGGTCTGGCCAGATGACATATGGGCGATGATGGTCCTATGGGTGGCAAGGGAGCGCTGGATGTTCGAAATGGAGATGACCGAGCTGGAGTATATCCTAGGCCTCGGGGCTCGCGCGCATTAAGTACTTACAGGTAAGCTGTTTTCAAAATAAATAAAATCCGAATTGACTTACAAATTTTCAGACTGGACAAAGAGATCATTGAAGAGTCTAGGATATCGAAAGTATGATTTAGTGGCTGGATAGATTGGCGATATGAGATGTACTTACACTGAATTTCTGATGCAAACTGTACAATATTTTTCAAGCGAACATTGATAGTCTGAGGTAGTGTTGCCACAGCTCCGGCTTGTTGCCGGGTTTAGCCGTGGCTAGAGCCGTCGATAGCTGAGCCAAACAATGAGTTATGGATTACGTAATTTACAGCCCGGCCCGGTTGAAGTAGCCGCAGCTGCGGCTTGGATCCAGTTCAAAGCCAACTATTAATATAATATAATATATTTAAAACTAAAACTAAAAATACATTAAGATCAAGCGCCGAAAATGGAAGCTGTAGCTTCAGCCTTCGAGTTGATCGTCCGAATCGCAACGAAAATCTAAACATACATTTGAAGCAATGGGCCCTCACAAAGATGTACGTATTCTATCTAACATTCGATCAAACGCTAAAACAAATTAGATTTGTTGCAGCTTTGAGCGTGCACGAAAGATGGACGCGCAGAAGAGGGAATTTGAGCACCACTGCACATCAATGAGGAGGGAGGAAGATCGAAAGATGAGAGAGCAGGAGAGGAAAGGGCGCCGATGTGCATCGAGGAGGGAGGCAGATCGAGCTGAAGGGCCGTCGAGCTCAAAGTCGAAATGGAAGCCAAAGTGGAGACATTGGATCTTGAGGATCTGGGGTCGCAAGGTGCGGGAGGAGGCGAAATAGCGTTGAGTGATCTTCTGTTCAGGTGAAGTAGTCAGTAGCTATCCTGTATGAGTAGATACGAATGTTACCTTTGGAAAATCGGGTCCAACGTGTCTTGAGGGTAGCACTATAATTCAATTGTAAGCAGAAAATAAAAACAAAAAACACTCAGTCGAAGTACATACCTTGGTCTGTTTGCCATCAATGAATGTTTGCAAACCGCTATAATTCGATCATAAGCAGAAAACAAAAACAAAAAACACTCGGTCAAAGTACATACCTTGGTCTGTTTGCCATCGATGAATGCTTGCAAACCACTATAATTCAATTGTAAGCAGAAAACAAAAACAAAAAACACTCGGTCAAAGTACATACCTTGGTCTGTTTGCCATCGATGAATGCTTGCAAACCACTATAATTCAATTGTAAGCAGAAAACAAAAACAAAAAACACTCGGTCAAAGTACATACCTGAAGTCTCATATTGTACGTTGGTCAGATGTGTCGCCAGAACTTACTGCTTCTAAACCTCCACTCAAGGTCTGTATGCCAGTGTCTTCAGTAACAAATGCGCACATATCGTTCAGATATTTCCTGCAGAAAAAAAAAGAGGATTCCTACCCAAACTTGAGAGTGGATACAGGCGAATTTACAACATGCTCATAGGGGATTGATGGCAGGTAGTATGTCTCAAAGGATGCCTCGCTTCGAAATACACTGAAGAAGTAAAGTGTTAGTTGAAAAAAAGTTGTGTTAGCAATCTCGCTGGCCTGATTCTCGCACTAACCTTCACTCATAGGACCAATATTAGAGTTAGGAAACCTGAGGGAGAAGGAAATCAACGATTAAAATCAATATAATGACAGATATAGTGCAAGTGAAAACTAGGTAGTGGTACATGATGTGATAGTGGTGAGATTGTGAAGGAGGTAGGAAAAACATCAGTAATAGAGAGCAGGAATATCAGGAACATCATCACATTCTTCTGCTGCTATAGCTTTCAGAAGAGCATCATGCTCAGAATCGCGACTGCTGCCGGTACTTCTTGCAGACAACAAAGATGCATGCTGCCACGTGTCATCTGACTCCAGCGTGCATGTATTTGAGTATAATACTCCATTTCCTGCTCTGATGCTGACCATCCTTTTGTAAAGTCGAGTCATTCTTTCTTCAGCAAAAATTTAAGCATCTGGAGGATCTCTACCATAGCAGGGCTGAGGCGATTACACTTTTTGGTACACGTCTCGCTGCTTGATGAAAAAATGTGTTCGCAGGGAACAGCGGAGGCTTGGATCGGGAGATAATCTATTGTGAGGTTGTAGATGGTGGGAAAGAGGGTTTTTGAGCTCTGGTCGACATGCAATCACTAAGGAATAGAAGTGAGTGACTCAACAAAAAAATGCACGTTCCAAAATGCGAGCAGGTCAGTTCCTTGAGGGCTGACATGAGATGTACTATATGCGTTAAATTCCTCGTTGACTGTTTGAACACCAAGATGCTGATGTGGCAGCAAGTCAATGTCTAGAATACCATAAATTTGTGCACCTAAGGTTGCAGTGCGTGGTCGGTGAGCAGGCAATTCTACTGGTGGATGTTGAGTAGAGCTGGTTCTCTTCTCCTGCAGCTGTAGGACACGTTAGGTTAAATATGCACCGTTTGAGTCAAGGTAGACGTACCAGTCGCTTGATAGAGTCCCTGGCAATACAAGCACATTCTTCGCCCCAATGACCATCAATCCATGATAAACGCAAGCTAGGGTCAACGACTATACAAAAAGATCGTGAGAAATGAAATTGTATCAAGACTGAACTCACACATCACAATGGCATACACATTCGTCTGACTCATCTTGTGACCATACTTCTCCGCCCAGGCTAAGCCTATATTAATCATGGGCGCACAGTGCGTGGCGATCTGGGCCACCCCTTCCCACTGCTCCATCAGACGTTCTAAGGCAGAGACTGCGCCGCTTAGCATAGGCATACTTTCGCTGGACATTGATTGTTGGCAAGCATGGGGTGCCTGACATAAATTAAAACACATCGTGGGCTTCAGCGACATCAACACTGACCTCTAAAATCACTTCAAGGTCTTGCAAGACCATCCACTCCATCGGACTCAACCCGTGTTCGGATAAGCTAGTTTGAGTCGCAAGGTAGCAATCAATAGCCTGGGGCACTGTGAGTTTGCAATGAATGTTATGTGAGACAAAGTTTTACTGGGCGAAGCGTTCGGAGACGATTGAGTATGACATACGTCGAATCCCATCGAGTAGGTTCATCGCATAGAAGTTCGAGGACTGGAAGCTTTCCTCCTGGAAAGAAATTTCTCTGGTTGCCAATCGAGATAGCATTCCGGAAGGCTTCGCATCACTGGCCCGATGCGCGGATCACACGCACAAGATTCTTACCCCGCTTGACAGGTTTGAGTTTCAAGGCTTCCAAATACCCCTCCTTTTTGACGGTGGTACCACAAGCTAGCCACTTGGTAGGCACTGTTTAAAAATCTACGGAATGGTAAGCAGTGATGATGTGTTGAATGCATATGTTGATTATATGTGGGAAACATGGGATTTTGCGATCGATGGGATCAAACTCGATGCCACATGCTGACAGCAGATGAGAAAGCTTGACCATGGCAGTCTGGTTATTTGATGCATTATCTAAAGTAAAATGACCGATCTAGACTCAGTCAGAATATGTTACATGGGTGGGGTCAATCACTAACCTTATCTGTCACTTCCGCACGATCAAGGAGCCCTAATATGACTACAGCGAGCGATGCCCCATCATGAGAACCAGGAATATAGCTAAAAGCTAGAAGGCCGGCCTTGAGAACGAGCTTTGATGCATGTAGGGCAATCCAGTGAGCCGTCAATGCGATGAATGGACGTCGGGACTCGTCTTACCAGAGGTCAGAGGTAAACAATATCTTTCCTTCTGCTTTCTGGGAGAACATAAGATAACTTGCAAGATAAAACAGTCATACACTTACGGCCAGATCTTGCTTTAAAACATCGAAATATTGATACCATGTTTCGACTATTAACTCACGTAGCTTCGTCTGGTGAGGAATGTTGCACTCCCATAGATCTTTCCGCAGAAGTAGAAGTAACTGACGGAACTCAGGGCATTCTATTACATTCATTGCCTAAAGACAATCAATAAACATTATATAGAGTAAATAAGTACTCACCTGGTCATCGACCACAATGAATTTTATGAGTTGCCTATGCATCTCCTCGATGGTAAAATCCAGTATCTCATCTGCAAGTGCTGACACCCCTATCATGAGTTGTGAACCAAGACACCCACCACCGGGGGGAGAACCAAATGACTCAAGAAGTTTGTCTGGGTTCTGGTCAAGCTCTTGACCTATCTGTGCAAGAGTCCACCCTATATCAAGAAGATCTCGAACTTCTTTCACCCCAACTTTAAGATTGTGTTGCTCGAGGGCGGTTATGTAAACATGCAGGTGAATTTTGAGCAGGTGACTGCGAAGAGTGCCCGTGGTAGTCAACAAGCTGTATTTGGCAATAACGTGTGATGGATCTTCTTCTGTCTGTATGTCCCTGGCGAACAACATGAGAAAGAGAAAAATAAAAAGACTCAGAGATAATACTTACACACAGGGTGTACATATGTGCTGCCCTGACATTGTGTCTTTGGTGAAAAAATGGTGCACCTCCGATGCTACCTGTTTTGTTCGACGTCCTGTGGCTAACAGATTGGATCGAGTCAAATCGGTGAAGGTACAACAATTCTGATGGTGAGTCTGAACAATATGTTGGGTCTTGCAGAACCTAGCTGCTATTCGACCCTAAAGGGTTTCTGGACCAGGCTCAAGGCTCAGAGGAGAGGAAATATCATAGAAAACTACTGAGCACTCAGACTCATACTGGTAACTGGTGAAAAGATTGCTTGATTATGTAAGCTACAAAAGTGCCAACATAAGGTAAGGTAAAACAGTCTCTACAAGCCCAACCAGAAATGAATCCCTACATCGGTACCTGCCTGTGTTTGAAGTGGGCTTGGGACTGTGTGGACTGCTTCTACCGGGGTGAGCAGGTTGCTGTCCTCTTCTTCATTGACATCGTCAACAATGTCAAGATTGATGAACTCGCCATTGTCCGCCGCGCGGCTTGGACCAGCCCTGCGAGCTGTACTGCCTCGAAGCCTTGTGGCGGGCCATCGATTTCTGCGAGGATTCTGAAGAGTTGCAGTGAGGGTGGATGCAGTGGGGGGAGCTGCAGAGAGGGTGGGTGCAGTGGGGGGAGCTGCAGCAACAGGGGATAAAGTCTGGGGTGTGTTTACGGGGGGAGCTACAGTGGCAGGGGATGGAGTCTGGGGTGTGTTGAGAGCACGTCGTCAAGGTGGCATGGTCATAAATGTTGCGAATCCAGTGAGCGAATTACTGTTCTATATAAATAGTTGTTCTGTGAGTCCCAGAAAATGCAGCAGTGAAGTACTGACTCACCTGATTGTAAAGGCCAAAGAATGGTCCGCATACATGTAATCATCTCTCAAGTCTCAACAATCATAGGGTATGTCAACTGCTGTAGATTAGCGAAGTGAGATGCGGCTAGAGCCTCAAGGCTCATGGGGTCCTGGGCATCAAACAACCCCAAAATGTTGCCTAACATGCAGTGCCCTGGATATGCGCCTGGAAAGCTATTCCAAAAGAATGAATTAGCCGCTAGGAGTTTTTGAAATGTGAGTTGGAAGTACCATACCTGTACATACATCATTCAAGGAATAGAAAACGGAGGTTTCCGATCTTCGAGCCTCATGCAATCATGATTCATGAGTCATGCATGCCTTCTGACTGTGCCGGGTTTATGATAAGTAATATCGGTTGGATAGATCAAATGGAAGTACGAACCCGAACTGTAATCTCCCCATTAGCTGATTGAATTGACAGTCTGTTGGCACAAGATCTCCCATGCGGCATGCTGTAGTTTTTGAATGTAGCCTAGTAGAGTAGATTAGAGATTAGAGATCCCAGTGAATAAACAGCTATCATTATTACCTCAAAGTTGTTGTGCATTCAATTTTGGCTCCAAGTGAGTCATAATGAGTCAAGTCAGCGATCATGCAGCCAATTTTCAGATGAAGTTAGTAAAGACAAGATGATGGTAGGAATCAAAATCAGAACTTCGGTAAAGCTCGAAAAACACACGGTTGACGGCAGCTGAGTAATACTTGGCATGACATTGGACATTCAAGGGCATGCAATATGCAATGCGGGAAGGTCATACATTAGTAGAGTAGAATACAAAACTGTGTCATGTAATGAGTACCTACTACCTAGTACCTAATAGATCCCTCAGTGACCTTCACATTTCAACTGACAGAAATAAGCAAATTTGTAAAAAAAACCATGTCCCTGAGGGATAGTCAGTGCCGGGGAGGATGAGAGAGGAGGCAAAGACTCATCGTGGGGAATGGTGGCAAAAAGATCAGGCAAGATCATGCCAAGGTATTGAATGTTCCATTATGGAAAGTGTCTCTGCATGTTTTGTGATGGTGGCCAAGAAGGTGAGCATGACTGGGAGATAAGGATTGAGATACGCACAATATAAGCGGCAGGGGAGGGGACACCATCTTTGAGGTTCTTGCTGGCAAAAATAAGACGCTGGTGACTGGTCAGGTGGGTCTGATAAGGCTAGAATAGAACTAGAGAAGGGTAAACTTAGTAAACAAAGAAGGCACAAGAAAGGAACGAGGAAACACTCACCTTGTGCGCATGGCCATGTGACCTGATGGGCCCTAATACAAGGAGTGGGATTTATGGACCTCATGTTCATATCAACATGCCACATGACATGTTCGAACATTTTTTTCCATGAATTAAAGTAAGAGGTGGAGCGCACACATGAGGTGGATGTGAATGGGTTCTGCACGATCAAATGTTCCAGCCTGTTACTAGAATACATGTTCCCTGTACACAAACTCATCTACATAAAATATTTGCTCATGTCTCAGGTACCAAAAAGAGTGAAAGATTGAATGATATAGTATGTAACTAGTGTTACGACGGTGGTCGTGTGCGGACTGGGATAATCTAACAGCGACGATCATGACAGTGATACCTCGTGCTGAGAGTCCAAGGTCAGCTCCTACAGACAAGTAAGAGTTGCGTACACTGGCGGAGGTGAGCAATGATAGCGGTTTACAGGCAGAAGGGGTCTCAAGTCCTCCTGAAGGTGCGAGTCGGATGTCAAGCAAGTAGCTTTAGCAAGACAAGGAGTTCAAGGTAAAACCCAGTAAGATTAAAGTAAGGAACATCTACTTTAATCTATCGACCTTATATAAGGCTACTCTATCATATCTAAGCTCAGCTTGAAGCTGGGTTCTAAGTGCTTATCTATTGAGTCAGAGATACCATGCATGAGGCAGGCTTCTATCTATGATAAGGACATGTGGTCGTCCTTCTATCAGTGCATGAGGCAATCATGAGGCTTGCCTTCTATCTTGATAACATAAATAGGTCTTCTAGACCTATGTCGTCATATATCATGTAAGCGGTCCAGACCGCTTATCTAAGCTGGCATCTTCCGGGCTTCTCTTCTTTGATTATCAACTAGTCATCAAGACCTAAAGGTCCAGGTATTGTGTCGTTGCCGTGCAAGGTGGCAGAGGGCATATCTGTAGCTGGGGGTTCATGTCATGTTACTTTAACAACTAGGTCTTTTTATGCTGTGGTATCTTGGAAGCAGTTACAGGCATGGGGCAACCATTATGTGGGCATAAACTTGAAGGCTCGAGTTAATGAGCGTGTAAAGAATGAACACGAACTACTCACACACGACGAGTTGATCTGCAAAGAGGCGTTGTCTTTGGTTGACACAGAGGCACCTCCTTGGCCACTGAGTGCTCTTTCGGGGATGGAGGAGGATGTGTAATGAAATGATCGGACTGACTGAGATCCAGCGAGCATGTAGCTGGTGCGGGTGTCATGGCACAAACATTGTGGAGCAATGATCTAAGATAATCGTAGTCGGGATCCTCGGAGAATGCGAGATTGCACAAATAAATCAGCATAGTGGTGATCTCAGGAGGAATTCCAAGACATAAATCTTCAATGGTGGTGTCCACCTTGCGTGCCAGTATAGAAGAAGTGGGAAGCTTCTCATGGTCACTAGTGAACCATGGAAGGGAGCCGTGCAAGAAGTAAATCAACATGTATATAAGTGATTTGAGATCGTCACGACGACCAGGCACAACTCCTAGGTGGTTATTGATCGAAGCGAATGCGGGAGTGCCAGTAAGATGTCCACCATGGCAAAATGGCATATGGGCTTGGGCGGTAGTGTTCCAGTACTCTTTCGTGACACCAAAATCGACCATAAAAATGGTTTGCTCTAAGTCTCCACGACCAACAAGGACATTTTGCGGTTTTATATCGCTGTGAATGTAGTTGTGTGAGTGAATGTGCTCTAGAGATGAGAGCTGGGAAACATATTAGCATCTGCCAGTGCCAGGACACCATAAACACAACTTACTAGTTGGTCTCCGAAATTCAGGACAGTATGAAGGCTGAATTTTCGATTGTGCGTGATAAAAAGGTCATGCAGTGATGGCCCGAGGAGATCGAGAACTAGAGCATGAAATGTTGCCTCTCTACCGAACCACACAGCGCGCGGAATCCCAGCTCCTCCTTCAAGATGTTTCAAAATACGATATTCATGCTCTAAAGAGGATGCATTGTTGATGAGAGGCTCAGGTTTGATGGCAAGGTCATCATCATTTATAATGTTCCGTGCACGATACACAATGCCTAGTACATGTTAAATTCAATTTCAACATATAAATTGTACATGTAAACAACATCTTACATACCATACGAGCCAGATCCTAAGATGTCTCCCAACCTAAACCTGCCATCGACCCGAATTGGGACCTTGTTCATTGTACAGTAAGATATTCGAAGAGTTATTAGACAGAAACGAGTTTCAAACGACAGAAGAGGTTGCGGCATTGCGCGCACAGTTGGTTGGAGCCTGGTTCAACTGGTTCAAGCCGGCTCAAGCTGCCTTTCACACATAATGGGCTTGAAGTTGGTTCATGCAGCTAACTGAGGTGAACCGAGCTGAAGAATCAAGTGAGCCTACCTACTGCTAACCGAACTGCCGCATAACCAATAAAAGCCGAAGCTGAACCAGCCATAGCCGAGCCACCCCATTACTAGTCTGAGGGCTACGAGGTAACTGCAATGACTCTTTGATGATGGACTTCTTGTAGTGCGGTGGAAATCGCTTGTTTGTTTGAACTTGCTTCTCTCCAAGCCTCACTAACTTGCCTAAAAAGACATCAATCAAGACGGAAACTTGGGATCAATGACTGGGTACATATCTCACACGTCGTATAAATACGACACTAAGCACAATGCTCTTTATCGAGCGTGTCTTCTTCATAATTGCTGGTGGGTTTTTCAGTTTGAGATATCCTATCCGGGATATACAGGCCAGTATCATCAGGTAATCGACTTGAGTTTGACAAAGATTTAGCTAGCTTTATTTAATGTATAATATTGAAAATATATATCACAATTGTAGATCATATGACAAATCAATAGATAGGCAGCTTACGTTGGTGAAATCTCCCAAAGCCACAATATTGACAGACCTATGGTACAAAATTGTGATTTACTAGCACACTGGTGTTACAAGTAACATCGGCTACATGGCCCCCCTATCATTTTTCCCCTTCGTCCTCGCCCTTGTATGCCTTCGGCTTGCACTTCTCTACCGACTATCCGTTGACCGGATCCTCGGGACCGTTCCCGTCCCTCATCCCCCTCCTATCGCACCAACGTGCGCACATGCCTTCGGGCTATGACTCGTGCCACCAATGTGGCTTTCCTTATCTTGTCTTATCTTTCCTCTGACTCATGCGTGCTACGCATTGTATCATTTACTGTTGGCTCATTCCAACGTTTCTCGGTCTCATTCTGCATTCGACCTCACATCACTAATCAGGCTCTGCTACCAGCGTACCTATACCCTTTCCGTTTCCCCTTTGCCCTTACCTACAGTACGGTAGCCTTGCCCTTAACCCTTTCCACTTAGTATAAGTAGTCGGTCACCCTGTACTAGATTCCCTAACTTGAATCTACTCAATCTTCCCTCGAACATACTTCCCTCTGAAGCCCCCTCAGCTTCAGTCTCTAGTATCTTTTCTTAGGTGCTCATTGCGCCTAAGTCTACCTCGATCGACTATCTCATCGTTCGGACAAGACTGTCCTTACTTTGAGAACGTCAGTGACTTTGAAGACATCCGTCTTAGAAGTCACATGACACACGCGTCTCTGATATCTGCCGACTCATCGTCGCCAGTCTCAGTTGCTACACCGGACCCTTCCGGTTACGTCACGAATGTTAGCGGACGACGCCCCTCTTAGGGCTCCGCATAACAGATCTATTTGAGTGCGTAACAACTGGTGTATTGTTGGAAGATGTGTCTATTATTGCATGGCTAGCTTCCAATGGCAGAACATGTAATCATCAACAGTGTGCTTGACAATGATATTGACCTAACAAAGTGTTAGGCTATGATCTTGACTTATGATACCTTATCAAGATGCCAGTTTTCAGCCAGATATGTCTGGCTTTGGATAGGCAGCTTCTGATTGCAGAAGCCACCATTGATGACAGTGTGCCCTGGAGCGATATTAGATTATCGTGTCATATAAAGCATGTCTGCCATTATAGGGGCGGGCTGTGATGTTAGAAGCCACCGCTGATGACAAAGTGTTAGGCCACGATCTTGACTTATGATACCTTATCAAGATGTCAGTATATGGCACCAGGCTATCATATCGCAGCAAGGTGCTGATTATCTATCCATTATGTCTGGCTTTACAATCACTGACAGTGTGCCAGCACATGATATTGTGTTATCATGCTATAACAAATTGTTGATCTTATATTAGGCACAACTACTGTTACATGGGTGACTTCCAGTGGCAGGTTCTGTAATCACTCACAGTGTGCCAGGACATGCTATTGTCTTACATTAGGCTATCAAGCTGAGGATTTTCTGTCAAGCATGTCTACTGTTACAGGGGGAGCTTCTGATGCCAGAAAATCTCATGAAGAAGGCTTCTAATGCTCAGTTTTCTTACTGCATTAATTCAGGGGTGTTTTAGTCACATAGCAAGTATACATCAATTACATTACAAAATAATACAGTTACAAAACAGTAAATAACTAATTGATCTCGGCAGTGGCTAGTTCTCGCAAGGCAGCACGTTTTTCCCGAATCTTGGCCAGCGCGCTGTTTTTGCTGATACTGTGCTGAGAGGAAGAAGAATTAGGAAATACTCAACTATGAAAGGTGTAAATTTAGACAGCTTAGAGGTGAAAAGGTGCATTACGAACCGTGTCCACCATGTCATCAGGTCATTAACCTCCTCAATTTCGTCAGGATCCTCTAGTAAATCGAGAATGCTATGATAAAAATTTTCCGAGTCCGTGACCGTGTCGGTACGGGAAAATACTGATGATGAACTTAAGGCAAACCAAATCTGAAGATAAAATCAGCCGCAGAAGGCATGCACAATTAATTTGCGTACCTGTGTAGCAACATAAGCTAGAGAGCCTTTAGTGACAGATTTCATACCATGCAGGTAAGCGTTGCCAGAGCGCGTAGCCTTGGGCTCCTTATCCACTGAGCTTGGAGACGTAAAAACATGTTTGAACCCCTATATCGCTCGAAGTAAGAAATTTATCAGTGATTTGAAACGAGCTTACAAAAGTTAGTATCTCGCTCCTGAGTAAGCCCTTCCATGGATCATCGGGATCATAGTGGTACCCAGAGTATAAGAACATGGGCCATTGGTCACCGCTAACTGCAGTTTCACTGCTCTTCAAACTCTGTTTGGTTCTGAGGAGCGTTATAATAGACAATTGATATAATGGTGGAAATACTTACTCTACGTCTGACCAGTCAAGGCCGGCGGGGCAGAGCAACCTACTGGTAACTTCATGATTGAACCCACGGTCCAATTTGATATTCCGGGAGAGGGGTGGTATAAGTGGCTGTCCTCTGGGCATAAGCCATTCCAGGACAGCAGATTTAAGGGTCTTGGTATCGTCACCTCGCGCACCAGATGCTCCTTTACCTAGCTGCAAACGATGAGTACGAAGATATTGTAGAATGAAAACTTACTAATTCTCCCACGTGAATAATATCCTCCTCCTCGCCGTCCGTTAGACGAGCTAAAAGACCAGGATAGGAATCTATTAATTCTACAAACACCCTATGTTCGCATTGGACACTACATTAAAAAAATTGATGTCCTTGTAACAGATAAAGATCAAATTGAACTCACTCTGCTGGATAATCCTTGATGAGGGTGTCCTGTAATTCTTCAAGTCATAGTATACCGGCAGTCAGAAGAGCAGGGAAATTACAAAAGGCAAATACAGTCCGACCAAAGTGTCGGCCGTGAAGTACCAGGGAATTTGATGAATTGCTGATGAAGATTGAGTCAGTATGTCAGTGGGTTACCGCTTAAAAGAATACTTGCGCCTTTTTACGCGGGCCCATGTGTAGGGCCGAAGCACTACACTTACGCGTAGAATTTCCGGGAGAAGGATTGTTCTTGTCACCACTCATGAATTGAAGGTAGGTTGGCTCTGAAAATCAGCAGTGAACGAGGGCCTTTATATACCCAAACATATATGCCATCAATATGTATATATTAACCTCGCCATCCTGTTTTTTTTCAAACAAAACCCTTGCCATCCGAGCGCCATAGATGTCGTAATCTATGGCAAATGACAGGGCTTAAACGAGCCTTCGAAGTACATAAAAAAGAGGATGGTGCAACTTCACGCGCCATCATTGTGATAAAGATATATTTATAGAACTGCAACTGCTATTGCAGCTTTTGAACCTCCTCCAATGCCCAGTTCACCCCTTCAAGAGAATTTGCGACAATGTGTCCATGTTGGAAGCGATATCACACTAAAGTAAGCTTTTCAGTATGTACACGAGATGCAAACCCATGAAGTTACCTCGAGGTTCCAATTTTCTCCGCTGCATACACTGCAAAACACAGAGGGAGATGGGCTGCGTGGAATTGAGTGAGTAATGAAGCATTATAGAAAACAACTTAAAACCAACATTACTACAGGCAACTCCTTGGAGGAAAAAAAAGATTGATTGATTCAGAAACTCAGACAATAGGTGAGATTTCACAATTGAATTGTGAAACCGTATGGTGGGTCTGAAAAACATGGCCTAGGTACTGACGAAGAATCCATAAGCAGATTAGAATCTGAGCTGCGCCGTGTCAAGGAACAACTAGAGAACATGGAAATTCACATTACTTACCTTTCGGAACGGGTGGGGACATACAGGCGTAAATGGCTGGAAGATTACTACCGTGCCGATAACCTCGAGCATTGCATGCCTGATTCCGTTGTTGTGCCCAACCTAGGTCAGATTCCAGAAGGTGCGGCTTCTCCTGCCTTCTGTCCAGAACTCTTCGGTTGGGAGGAGGAAGGCTCAGAACTGAGAGCGTCGCTGTGATCTACAAGGGCACACCTGCACGGACGTATGTGATATCTATGTCAAAATCAAAATTGGGTTGCATAACGAAGGATACACTTATGATTTCTATGTCAAATGGGTGATGATCTCAGGGGCTAGGTGCCGAGCCTGTATACCACACTCTATTCACTACAATATACGAACTATGATTGATATCAGTGCCTGAACATTAGATCTCAAGGGCAAAGTAAATGTCGACTTAAGGACGACAACATCTACAATGTATGAACATATAATAAAGTAATTTAAATAATTGAAGATGTAGTAGAGTGAGGCTTAAGGCAATACAATTATGACAATATAGTAAGGGATAACACATTCCATTATGTTGAGACGGACATTGGGGAAAAAGAGTTAAGTTCAAGCAAGGAACGCCCTGATATAGTGAATGACTATTTATTCAAACTCAGCCGGCAATGCCCGCAACAATGAATTCGAATATACGGTGGATCGGGAATTGCTGGCTGGGTCTGAATATTGAATCATTCACTTTATGTACTGTGTGTGCGTACCAATTGTCTTCTTTCCATCTGCCAACATAGTAATAATTAGGGTTAAGTAGTATATGTACCTACTTTACACTTAGCTTGAATGTGATTTTGTAGGGTAGTATTTGTGGTCTGTGCGCACCTCACAATAGTTGATGCCTATGCCCACCGGTCCACAATGTCGGGTGACCACCGTGACATAAGACAATGCAGCGTCATGATCCACAACCACAACTGACCACGATTAATTCATACCACCGTCTGTAAGTATTAGCTAATCCAAATAGTGATTCACTATATATACCGACCTTGCGCATTAACAGGTTCTCTTTTTCCTATCACAACCTCGAACACACTTAGTATTAGCACGATAGTTCGTATATACAAATAACATAGACTATCACCAGTAACAGTATGTCATGTTAACGTTCAAGTTTGCTGTAACTCTAAGTTGACATACCTTATACTAGAATGTCCAAACGCGCTGGATCTGGTGGCGATGAACCACCCTCAAAGCGTCACTGCTCGATTGATGTCCAAGGTAAGTCATCTTCGGTATAGTTAATATTTGAGTTATTCATGAGTATGATACAGCAAACCAGGCAGTACCACCGGCACTGTACAATAACGGTGCATAGGAAATCCTTGCCAAATTCCTCACCACATCAATGTCTCTATCCGAGGTAGACGACGCGCACATAGCGTACCTCGGCAACTGATACTTAGCAGATGAATGGGCAGAGCCTCGACGCCTGCTCTTCTCCGGTGATGAAGATAACGCCAAATCCTTAGAAAACTTCACCAAGCTGTGGAAAACTCACATACCCAATCCACCAGAAAAGTCTTCCGTTTCTATCCCTGCATCGAGGAGGAACGGCTACTCGTCAAGTTCACGTGCTCAAAAATCGCACAAGTTATCCAAAGTATGTGAATGTCCTGGCTGAAACATTTATAAATTGAACGATAAATTCAGGCTGCTTCTAAGTTCATCGCTGATAAGGCCGATGTTGGTGATGATGAAGAGGAGGAAGAGGAGTATGATGGAGAAGATTGGGACAGACCTTCTATGCAGTCGCCAATAGTCACAAGTTTGCCAGGAATGTCGGTGAAACGGAGGTTGGCAGCAACCTTTGACGACATGGCGACTCGGTTTGAACAACATTTGCCCAGCTCATCTGAAGACAATCTCGCCTACAGAAGTCCCGAAAGCAGGATGTATTTACTTCATGTTCAAAGTGGGTTTTTTGTTCTGTTTATTTTTCAAAAAAGACGTATATATCACTCATTGTGTCATAGGGACTACCACTCAATATGTTGCTGACCACCTTCGGAGGAAGGAATTTCCCATGATCGTGTCAGCCTGGTCAGCAGGACAGCTTTACGTGGTGGCGGATAGCCCCGTGACGATTGCAAAGTCCTTGCCCCTATCTCTTTATCTCGCTGTGAAAGAGTACTCCCGTATTGCCATGGAAGAACGCACGCAGTCCGAGTTTCCTCAACAAGCATGGGTGAGGATCAAGGGCAGTAAGTACAGGGGCGACATCGCACAAGTTTTCGAGCAACTGCCGAATGGTCTGGTCACAGTCTCAATTGTTGCGCGCAATTTCCCCTATTCCATGCCTTCAGGATCTCGAGCGCTTATCCAGCGATCTCTCCTTCCGAACCAGAAGAGTGTTTCCGACATCATTTGCGATGACGAAGTTGTGGAATGGAAATACAAGGGAGAAAGCTACTACATGGGCCTGCTGCTCAAGAACTTTCACCACGACAGACTAGAACTCGTCACATCCCCTCATGTCGATGACATTCGGCTACACCTGGACACCGGATGGAATCAACCGTTTTTGAACGAAACTGTGGTCATGTTTTCGCTGCAGTTCCTGCGCGTGGGCGATTGGGTGAGAGTCGTCAAAGGCTCTCTTCGTGGAGAGCTTGGTCAGGTCGTCTCAACTGATCATACTTTGGGGACCCTAAGTATGCAATTGGCTTTTGATGGGCGTCTCAAGGAGATGGAAGTTCGACTCAAAGACATCGAACAGATCTTTCGAGTCAGCGATACTGTAAGAGTGGTGGCTGGTTCATACTTGGGCTTGGAAGGCCATATCATTCAAATATGCGGTGACATGTTTCACCTTTGTCAACATGCCACCAACGAGCAGGTATATCTCTGGTATAATTTTATTTCAACCATCTAACACTTAGTGCACAGGTGGAAGTGTCTAAGTACTACTTAGATCAATGTCCGTTGAACCACACGGTGCACTCACAGTTCCCAATGCAGCAAGATTTCGAACCTTCCGAGTTGGACTCCATTCAAATAGGAGATTTCATAGAAGTCTTGGACGGTGAGCACATGGGGAAGCGCGGAGTCGTGGACTGGCTTGCTAAGGGGGACAACAAACTATGGTTCCGGGATATTTTGAGTATGGAAAGCATCGAGTCCAGTGGTGGATTGTCAAGTCTCTCAGTTCCCATAGCAATAGTTCAGCGGACGGACCTGACTGCAACAATTCAATACACGAAGGAAAGGGGTTATGACGTCAGACCTGGAGACATTGTGACTGTCGTCCGTGGGCCCGAGTATGAAGCGAAGGCGTTGTGCAAAGCGTAGACTTTCCAAATGCTCACTTGTCCGTGCTGTGCGATGGTGATCACATGCTGGTAAGTATCATCATCTTTACTGAAGCATATCTGACATTATGATAGATCAATGTTCCAATTGGATTCGTTATGAAAGTGCGCAACACCGCCTTGGACTCTTTCAAGAAGGATATTGGTCAAGAAGTTTTCATCATTGGAGGTGGCCATAAGGGCTATCGAGCCACACTCTATAGTCTTGGCGTCGAGGCTTGCACTGTCGCTATTCATGGGCAGAAGCGTATCACAGTCAAACTTTGCGATGTTGTTACCAAGTGAGTAGCACTCATATTTCTATTTCTACAGTGATTCAAATATTTGTGACTTTAGGTATGGAATGCGGCTAAACGGGGCGATGCTTGAAGGCCTGGAGTTGATTTCGTTCTGCGTCATGCGGAAAAAATTGTACTTGGCACCACCATGTCAGAGCACCACACCACCTTTCGAAAAAATCCCCTCCAGCTCCTCGACTTCCATCATGGAACCCATTCCCTCGTCATCTGGTGTGTGGTCCACCTGGTCTGCAAGCTTGGATGATGCTGATGTGACTCAAGATCCTTCATTGAGCGTTAATCCAAACACATCAACATCCGACCCATGGACTGTTGATAAACTCGATACTCAAGACAATATTGACGTCGGAGCAGAGAAACTCTCAGACAGCAGTGAGTGCCCAAAGGAGCCACTGCAGGCTTTTCTTATTCTATTACAGGCCCGCTAGCTTGGTTGATGACCAAGGAGTTTTTTTCGACGTTTTTCAACCATCACGCAATGTTAAAGGTCTCACCGATCTTTGATGCATCGCTGTCCAAGCGATTTGTATCTATGCCTTGTCCTGACCCGTTCTGTGGCGAGAATGGACCTGCACCGGAGGGATGCATTGCAGCATACTGCACATCCAACAATGCGGGCGCAAAAATGAAACACTATCACATTCCTGCCATGTATCTGAGCCCTGCCCTTCCACGTAAGAAGAATCAGAAGTGTCTTATTCTGGCCAGGGCTCATCGTGGGCTGGTCGGAACCGTCACGAAATGTAGCATCAAAGCAATCTTGCTGATATTAGTATCACCCCTACAATTACTGTAACTCTACGTTTCGATGAGATGTGTTTGGTAGAACTGATGGAATAAAATAGAATGTGTACAATACTTACCGCATATACCATATGAGATCTGTTACCTTTACCCACCGTTAATCTTGCAGACACAAGCTTGATGTACTTTACCATGTATGCATTGTCAATTTTTTCTTCAACCAGCATCGGAATATAGTCCATTCATTTCTGGAATTAAACTACACCATGTAATACAGTACAAATGTAACAATAGTATGTGTGCCAAGATACCATCATTCTGAAGTCTGACTCGGAAGTAACTGAAATTCAGTCCTGCAATTGTAACCTATCTTTTCATAGGTGCGACAGTGTATGATATCAGGATCAAGGAAGGGGGGCCACGGGGCCTGTTGAACTGTTAATAGGGGTAGATAGGATCATAAATAGAACTTAGCTCACGAAATTTACGCCTGGGCGCACCATATCGGGCGAGGTCACGCCACATGACTCATGTGATGCGCGAACCTCATCCCATTTTGGGACATGGGATTTTCCCCCCTGTGTCACCATAAACATTACTTATTAGTAACAGTGACACTATCGGATGTTTGCTACTAACTAGGGGTGAGAGCCTGTGCTGTAGTACTTTACACCTGAGGCAGGACGGAATCTGTCTGCAGGACGGAATCTGTCTGCAGGACAGATTGGTATCATATCCACAGAAATATTTTACATTGGTGATGGAATCTGTACTGCAGTAGTATTGGATATCAAATTTTACACATGTTTGTGATATGACATTTAGGCAAATTGGGGGAAAATATCCTAAATCTAATGGTGTCTCATATCTAATCTATGCATATCGATACTATGTGTCCAATCAGAGAGAGAAAAGGAATTGTAATACTGGCAGTTGAGAAGTATGGTGTGATCTGATAAAGAGAATGTTCTTGAAAGGTAGTATTGAATATGTGGGCAAAAGCCCACAGGGCTTTCTGGACCAAAACACCAGACCCGATCCTGGGAGAAAAGATGAGCTGTGAATCACATAAAATTAGGAGGTCTACGATGCAAACAGCGAAGCTTATGGCCCGTACTAGTGTAAGTTTTGTTTGAAGTTGCGATGTGCGGGAACAAACAGAAGGCTAGATAAAACGAGTGTATACTCAGTCGCATACTCGTAGTGTAGCAGACTAATACTAACCTAGATAAAATGAGTGTATACTAGTGAAGTTAGTAAAGGAATGAACTATAGTAATGAATGTCTTACCTCAGTCGTGTACTTGTAGTGTAGCGGACTGAGGTGTGAGTAACTCTAATGTGACTATGTACTTGCGTGATTAGGTAAGCTGGTACTCGACGTACCAATAAACAAACTATTAACAACACGCTGTAGGGATTCATTTCTGGCTGGGCTGGTAGAGACTGTTTTTACCTTACCTTATGTTGGCACTTTTGTAGCTTACATAATCAAGCAATCTTTTCACCAGTTACCAGTATGGGTCTGAGGGCTGACCAAGTTTCTATGATATTTCCTCTCCTCTGAGCCTTAAGCCTAGTCCAGAAACCCTTTAGGGTCAAATAGCAGCTAGGTTCTGCAAGACCCAACATTGTTCAGACTCACCATCTGAATTGTTGTACCTTCAACGCCCACTCAGCGAGTTATCAGCTATCAACACACTCCCATTCCTCCCGTAAACCGATCGTGCTTCTCTCGTCCAAGGGCCTTTGTCAAAACATCGGCAACTTGCCAGTTCGTCAGCACATACTTCAACTCGATATCACCATTGTCAACTTTCTCGCGGATGAAATGATAATGGATCGCGATGTGTTTCGTGCGGCTGTAGACAACGGTGTTCTTTGCGAGTGAGATAGCAGATTGGTTGTCGATTAGGAGGTGGATTCTTTGGATTGGGAGTATTCGGATTTCACTTAGAAAAGTACGCATCCATATCGCTTCTCTCGTTGCTGATGCTGCGGCCATGTATTCAGCTTCTGTGCTCGAAAGAGCAACAGAGTCCTGTTTCTTTGACGACCAACTCACAGCTCCGCCTGCCATTATGAACGCATACCCAGTGATGGACCTTCAATCATTCACGTCTGAGGCCCAATCCGCGTCAACATATCCGATGGGAGTAGCGCTGTCTTTTCCTCGAAAGGTGAGTCGTTTGTCTGCCGTTTTGCGCAGATAACGATAGACACGCATCAGCGCTGTCCAATGTTCTGGTGTGGGCTTTGCTGAGTGTTTGCTCAGTGCCCACTGAATATGCGAGGTCTGGATGTGTCGCGAGCATCGCATACATCAAGGCTCCAAGCGCGCTTTGGTAAGTCCTTGTTTCCATCTCTGGATCTTCGGCCTTGACTAGCTTGGTATTAGGATCCATTGGTGTTGCTACGGGCCTCGCATCTTGCATTCCGAAATGTTTGAGGATCGTTTCAACGTATCACTTTTGCGATAGATGAATTGTTTTCTCCTTTTGGTCCCTAATGATTTCCATGCCCAGAATCCATCGCACTTCTCCAAGGTCTGTTAGATCGTACTCATCTTTCAACTCCTTCTTCAGCTGATTTATGAGTTTCAGATTGTTTGAAAAAATCATCTTATCGTCGACATATACTGCGACTATGACAAATTTTTCGTCCTTGACCTTGTAGAATACGCTGTGCTTGGATTTGCATCGCATATAACCAAGTCCCTCAAATACGGTCCGGAGTCGTTTGTACCAGGCCATGTGCGCCTGTTTCAGACCATATAACGCTCATTGGAGCTTCCAGACTCGGTCCTGTGAGTCATGAGAAACCTGGGGGCATCTCTAGGTATATCTCCTCGTCTAGCTCACCATTAAGGAATGCTGACTTTACGTCCATCTGATGGATTTCTAGATCGAGTTTTGCTGCTAGTGCTAGGAGAATCCGGATGGTTGAAAACTTTGTAACCGGTGCAAAAGTTTCAGTATAGTCGATTCCTTCGACTTGGGTAAAGCCTTGAGCAACCAACTGGGCCTTGTATTTGTCTATTTCGCTGGTAGGTCCCCGTTTGACCTTGTATACCCACTTAAAATCAACAACTTTCCGTCCCTTCGGTCTCTCAACTTCCTCGTATAGGCCGATCTTCTGGAAGACTCTCAGTTCTTCTAGCATGGCGGCTTGCCATAGGTCTGCATCCGGCCAGTTCACTGATTCTTCGAATGTCTTAGGATCTTCGGCCATCTCCACATGGTAAGCACGTTCTTCATCCGCAAGCTCCTTCTCACTCTCATACTCATCCATGACAGCACCCTTTTCTTCTTCATTCTCAATGGTGTCTTCTTGGTGAGTTTTGAGTGTTGGTTTCTCATATGCATTGACGAAGTAACGAGGATCATCGTCAGGGACTGGTTTCTTTCATATGCAGTTCGATCATCTGGCTTCGCGTGGGCCAACAGGGTGTGGATATGGAATTGGAGGACCTGCTGTCATCGTGTGACGTCTTGTTGAGGTGCGTCACGGTTGCTGAGAACTAGTTTCAATCTGACTAGTTGTAGGGACCACCAGTTCCTCAAAGTCTTGTGGGGTGTCTTAATTCTCTACATCTGCAACCTCCTCGATGTGCATTTGTCCTGTTTCATTTGAATCTGGATGTGCCGGTAGGGTATTTGGCTTCGATTGTGTTTGCTGTTGACTGACTTGGCGATTTTCAGTATCATCAACAGTTATCTTCACTCGGCTTGACCCTCCACAGTCCCCTTCATCGAACACTACATCCCTAGACTCCAATATTCGCCCATTTGACCTCTGCAGGCAGACATATGCCTTTTGATGCTCGGCATATCCTAGATGAACATACTCGATGGACTTTGCATCGAGCTTTTGGCGTCGTTCGTCCGGTACATGCACATATGCTTTGCATCCAAACGTCCTCAAGTGTGCTACTGAAGGTTTATTTCCAGTATATGCTTCAAAAGGTGTGATATCCCTTTTCAATGCACGTGTGGGGACTCGATTGATGATGTGGGCTACATATAGAATTGCATCTCCCCAATACTTCTTTTGGAGGGAGGCATCGCTGAGCAACGCATGTGTGGACTCAACTAGTGTCCTGTTCATTCGTTCGGCGACTCCATTTTCCTGAGGTGTGTAGGTGTTTGTCTTCTCATGATGGATCCCTTTTGACTCTAGATATTTTAGAAATTCCTTCGAGCCATATTCTCCACCACCATCACTATGGAATATGTTTGCACGTTCACCTGTTTCGGTCTCTGCTCGTTCGAAGTACAATTTCATAAGTCCAAATGCTTCATCTTTTGTCTTTAGTAACTTGACAACTAGATGGTGCAAGCAGGTGTCAATGAATGTCATGAAGTACCGGTATCCACCTCGGGAGGTCGTTTCCATGGGTCCGCATATGTCTGAATATGTTCTGTGCAGAATACGAGGATTCTCGACTTGGGACTCGTCTGGGATAGGTTTGCGGGATTGTTTACCCTTTGGGCAGGCCTTGCATACATCTGTTTCATGAGCTGTTGACCCTGAAACTTCCATGCCTCTAACCATATCCTTCCCATACAGCTTCTTCACAGAATTTAGATTGGTATGTGCGAGTTGACGATGCCAAGTCTCCATGGATGCCTTCGATGAGTACGAGCAGGCTGTGAGTGCTCTAATCGGTTCTATGGTGTCTAATAGCTGACTTGGACCTTGAATGATATAGGCTCTCTCGCTGCTGCAAGTCCGTCCTCTCAATATGTATAAGGACTGTTGCCGTGTTGCTAGTGCCGCTATGGACCTGTTTCGAGTGATTGTGCAGGTACATTGGTCAAAGCTTGCTTCAAAGCCTTTGCTTGTCAACTGTGGCACTGACAACAAGTTTCCATCTAGAGCAGGGACATAATACACCTCCTGCAGTATGGTTCAGTGCATATTCCCTTTTCCAACTTCAACCTCGAGCTCAATGCTACCAAGTCCTGTAGCTTTGATGGACCTTCTGTCTCCAATGACGACTTGCTGCGCTGGGACTATTGGACGAAATGTCCTGAACCAATCTCGGCGGCACAACATACTTGCTGAAGCACCAGAATCGACAATCCATTCCACAGAGTTAGGTTCGTCTTTAGAGTCATATGCAACAAACAGTTGCAATGCTGGTGCATCTTCTTCAACTACAGCTGCTACTTTTGCTGATAACTCTGTCTTTGGCTTATCTTGTTTGTCGTCCTTGGCTTTGCTGGGTCCTTTAGCCTTTTCAGCCTGTTTCTTGTGACAATCTCTCTCCCAGTGGCCTGGCTTCTTGCAATAGTTGCAGTTGCCAGGTTTCTTCTTCTTATCCATTTTCGAACTCTCTTTCAACCTGTCTGAGGTCTTGGCTACAAGAGCTGTTTGAGAATCTAGACCTTGATGCGACTTCTCCTCGACCAGGATCTGGCTGATAGTACCTTCGATTGTGATCTTGTCGCTCATTGACATGAGAATTGTTCGGAGAGTTGAGTAGGAAGGAGGAAGTGATATGACCATAGCAATGGCTACTAGAGAGTCTTTGAGAGCTTGGCTGAGTGAGTTCAGTACTTGTGCCTTCTGTCGCATTGAATTGAGCTGAGGTTCTAGGGGTGACTCGTCTGACAGAGTTCCTTGAAACAATTCGCCTATCAGGTAGGCTATGCTTTGTTTGCCCTTTCCCTCATATCGTTCGCACAATTTTGTCCAGGCATCAGATGCCAACGTTGTGTGTAGGACTCCATTTAGCGGTTTGTCCTTCAGCGTGAGTGTGATCTGTGCATGTGCTTCCTCGTTTTTTTCTAACCATTCGTTTAGTGCATCTGGGTCTGTGGCAGGGGGCTGCACCTCCACTCCAGTAACTAACTCCCAAAGTCTCCTCACTGTGAGTACTTTCTTCGCTCGAAACTTCCAATTCTGAAAGTTAGAGCCATCATTCTCTAGTGACAGATTTGTCATAGAGTCGATTTGAAGCTTGAATTACTTTCTTCGAACTAGATGCTGATGAGGCAGTGAGTTGTGTTTGTGAATGTTGGGCTGGCGAGATTGACGGATTGTTGGACATTGTGTAGAGGGTAGGAAGTTGTCACTACTAGGCTATTTGTGTGCTTGAATATGAAGTAGGGCTCATAACCTTTTGTTTGAAGTTGCGACGTGCGGGAACAAACGGAAGGCTAGATAAAATGAGTGTATACTCAGTCGTGTACTCGTAGTGTAGCAGACTAATACTAACCTAGATAAAACGAGTGTATACTAGTGAAGTTAGTAAAGGAATAAACTATAGTAATGAATGTCTTACCTCAGTCGCGTACTCATAGTGTAGCAGACTGAGGTGTGAGTAACTCTAATGTGACTATGTACTTGCGTGATTAGGTAAGCTGGTACTCAACGTACCAATAAACAAACTATTAACAACAGTAAGGATGTGGACTTACTCCAAGTTTTGAAATTATCTCACTGGGGGCATCACGATGCAAGTGAATGGCTTGAGGGATGTGTTTGCTTGGATATACAGTGCTAGCACTTTGGTGTGATCACAAAGGTACTGTGTGAATGCGTCGCTTGACCAGTGACCCATCATTTTGACTACTTTAAATGGGACCCTGCAAAGGAGATATTCTAGGGTCCCTCCGATGTGAATACTGTGTCCTTTGAGATTAGGTAGGTTGGTGACTGCTGAAATGGATGATATGTGTTTGGCGAGCTCTGTTTTGGATAGCACATGCATGTAGTGTTGCCGCAGTTCTGGCTTATTCCAGCTTTAGCTGTGGGTGCAGCCACATCAAGCTGGACCATGTACCTAGTTGTGGCTTATGTAATTAGTGGCCTTGTCTGGTCCATGGAGCTACATTTGTGGTCTCTCGGCCAGCTTAAGCCAGCTTTAAGATTAAAATACAAACATTTGCCCTTGACTTAGGGTCAAAGTCCCAAAAGGATGTATTTGCAAGACAACATGATTCCTAGAATTTCCTACCTACCTACTCTACTGATCACCACTGAACATACCTAATACCTATCGGATATCGACGATCAACATTGATTACGAATTGAGATGGGTCTGCAAAATAACGTAAGTTGTTGTCGTTGTATCTGATGTCCAGGAAGCTAAGTCGAGATAGTTGTACTGCAGTCCCGTGAGTGCTTGCAAGGTTGAAGCAGTGCAAGCGGAGGTTAGAAGGAAAGCAAGCAGATTACAAAGGCAAATGGAGGCTAGGGCAAGGGCACAAGCTGATGTTGTGGAGACTCTAGAGACTTTGTAGGATGTTGAAGAGATGGCATGATGTGGTGAAGGAGGAAGGGGGGAGTACAGCTGGAGAAGGATGCACTCAGAAAGATATCTAATAGGAAGATTAGTTACCGGCTACATGTGTATAATGATACAAACAATTTGCACACCATTCACACACCCTTAATGTCATACTTTTGCACAAGCATGGAGCCGTTGACACGGATAAAGGTGGCATCTGTACGATTGGCGCTTGTCATTGTAACACTTGGGTTGGCGTTGGACACGTATCTGGTGATAAACATGTTTTATATTCCTCGACACACTTTTGATCTTCCGAAAGTGCCACGCGCTTGTCCGAGTTGTCCGAAGGTCGTCCGTCCATTTCTGAGGCCTTTTCTAGCTTTTCTGATCCTCCGTACCATGTCCTGTCCTTGTCCGTTTGACTTCACTGGTGCATTTCTCATTTGATTATCTGTTATTGATTAAGCCTAGGGGCACATACATCGAAAACCCTTGCTAATACGTATAGATATGCTCCTCGTGCATTATTACATGTATATCTTTGTAGCAGCTCGCCTTGAGTCTTATTACAGTTTGGATGTCTTATCTCGCTACAGTTTTCGCCTACGCAGATTCCAGACTTTCACGTCGTAGGATATATTCTGGCTTGCTAGGTACTCGCACTGCACTTCACTTCCCTTGCTTTGAGTCATAGTTAGTAGTTGTCACTTCCGGATTTTAGTACTTCGCAATCAATCTTTGTTCATTCAGAATGATTGTTTGGCTTCACTGCTGCCATTTTGCTATTGAAATTTTTAAGTCTCTCGACAGACTTTGCTAGTCGTACTACGCAAAGTTCTATACTTCGATAACCGCCGTATTTCTTTACTGGAAACCTTGCCGTTTCATCGGAAGCTCGCCGGAAGCTTCACACAACCTTGGACCTTCGTTTCTAGATGTTGGACCTATACCGGACACTTCGGACAACTCATCAGACACTTCAGACAACTCATCGGACACTTTGGACTATTCTTCGGAACTCTGAACGTACTTGAGGTATACTTTCTGTCTCTCACCCTCAATCTTAACAAGATATCCCTTGCATTTTATATCAAGAGATAATCCTACAGGCAGTCTCTTGGGACGAACATCTCACTCGCACTTTTGAGTCTTAAGGTAACACCTTTAGTATAGCCCACTAGGAATCAACTCTTTACATCGTCAAAGCGAAGCGCATGAGTGTAGTTCAAGAAAATGCCGAACTCATTGGGATAGCCATGGCAAAGGATATCGATGGGAGTAGTCATCTTCTTCTCCATGATCCTGTCATACTTCTGCTTTTTAGTTGCAGCCTTGAGTCCCTGGCAAGGGAGGGCAACACACAAGAAGTATCTTGCCTCGAGGTCATCATGGTGAGTGTGCTTAACTCCCAAATGTGTGTTGATTGAGGTGTAGCGAGCGGTACTGGTCAAATTCTTGTTTTCCCTGTATGGAATGTGCAAGTGAGTCTTTGGGTCATGAAATTTCTTCGTGAGACCAAAGTCAATGACATTGACTTGATTGCCATGCTTCCCTATGCCCATGAGAAAGTTGTCTGGCTTGATATCCCAGTGAATGAAGTTGTGTGAGTGGATGTACTCGATACAGGAGATCTGTGGTGATACAGTGGTGCGTTAGTTCTCAAAGACAGTGGCTGCAGTGGAATTTACTCACAAGTTGGTCCACAAGGAGCAAGACAGTCTTGAGGGTGAATTTGCGCTTGCAGAAATTAAAAAGGTCCTCTAGAGAGGGTCCAAGAAGGTCCAAGACCATGGCATTGTAGTTGCACTTGGTGCCAAACCAGTGTACGAAGGGAATGCCAACACCGCCAGCAAGGGTCTTGTAGACCTTTGGCTTGTACTCGAGCTGGGAGTGCTTGGCTTTTATGGACTTGAATTTGATGGCAACTTCTTCGCCGAAGATGATGTTGATTCTGAGGTAGATATCACCTGTTTAAACGAGTGATTAGTAACCATGTGAATATGCATTGAGGGATTTGCGCACTTAGGAATGGTGTTGAGGAAGAGGAGATCATAGGATGGACTATGTGAAAGTTAGTAGTACATTGCTTGTGTTATGCACAATGAAAAGCACACATAACTGTGCACTGATGTCATGCAGTGCTGGTGCTGTGCACGTCTATACACCGGAAACGGAAATAGAAACGCACCATCCAATCAATCTATCACCAGTGCACAGTGCGCACTAGTATTCAATATCACTGTGAAATAATCAAACAAACATCCAATATCAGTGATCGCAATGGGCCCTCAAGTTGATGTAAGTCAGATCATCGAGTTTAGTGTTCAGAAGGCTAACCTGAAGAAGCTGTATTGTTCCTATGAGCATGCCCTTAAGATACGGGCAGATGAGGTGTTGATGAGGCGGATGAGTGCAGTGAGAGCAAGTGTGAGTGGTTCACAAGGGAACAGATTGATGCAGGCGGGAGTAGGTGTCGCAGAGGAACATGTTGAGTCCCTGATGAAGAGATGGTTGCGTAGGGTGTTGAGGATGTTGGGTAGGAGGCGGGAAGAATAACACGGTGATCAGCTTCAATGTACTTTGCCACACAAATGTATCATAATACTCACAACTTCAACATTCATATCTAAGATTTGGCATGTGGGTTGCAAAGATGGAGTCAATGCAGGGCAATGACAAATGATCAGAGGACAGTAAGTTTGAGGACGATTGAGGGTGAAAGTCATTGATGACGATTGAGGACAAAAGATGTTCTTCAACTTGGTGCGTGAGTTCGAAGAATGCTCGTGTTTCAAATTCAATAAATGTATCTCCTCGTAAATAGGTTGGAGGATGCAGCTCACAATTGTGGGCTGGCCTTCCAGAGGGCCAACCTGGTACCATCTGACTTGATTGCACCTAGAATCATCGTCAGAGTGGACATCCAGACAAATGAGATTACATACACCATCCAGAACCACGACCTGTATGCATTATTCACAATAACATGAGTCCAGTAGGACTGGCTCGTGTCATACGTCCCAAGACAGGTTCTAGCTTTTCCGTCAGCCAATTCAGATGACTATGTCACAAGGATACGTACCCACATCCTTGTTTCCATGAACAGTAGTGTTTATAGCGAGGATCTATGTGAACAAATATCACATTCCGCAATACATAGATGCAATGAGAGTAAAATGCTCACATCAAATCATGAGTGATTGCCAGAGGCTTCATCACTTTCAGAAGGATGATGATTGAAGCTGCCGTGATTGTCAGTGAGGTCGCTATTGTTATGATCATCTGTGGGATGTTACTCAAGTAAGTCCTGAGTTTTTGGTGGTGGTTCTGGCAGGTACTAGCATGCATCAGCATGGCACGCACTCGAATGAGGATTAGCATGGCCCGAGCTCAAAAAAAGATCAATGCACTCAGGTACAAGCATTGCAAAGAAAGGTTGAAACTGATCACGCAGAAGCATGTGAAACATGTTGAGCATTGAGCGAGCAAAAATAGTGCAAACAAGAGGCAAAAGATGAAAGGTAAATGGCAGATGGTAAATGGTAAATAGTAAACAGCAAACAGCAAGAAATAAAAGTCAGATATGAAAAAAAGAAGTCTCACTTGTCGTAGATGGTAGCAGTGTCCTCGGTGTTATCACACTCATGCTCCGCAATGGCTCTGAGAAGAGTGTCGTTTGTGCTGGCAGCAGGTGTCAACTGCTCATTAGAACCTCTGTCATATACTATTTCATGTTCCATGTCCTGTAGAGAGGCCGCCCAACCTGTGGTGAAGTCAAGACATTTTTTCTTCAGGAAGAACTTGACCATCTGTAATGCTTCCATCAAAATGGGGCTGAGGCGATTCCTTTTTTTGTATGGGTTTTGCTACTTGATAAAAATACCCGCTCACATGGCACAGCAGAAGCTTGTACCGGGGCATAGTCCAGGGCAATTGAGTATATGGTTGGGAACATGGTCCGTGAAGCCTGGTCAGCAACTCATAGTTAATGACAAATGGTGTGACTTAAGGAGGCAATGGACTCACATTCCAAAATGCGAGTATACTTGTTCCCTGGGGACTAAGAGTAGCCGTGACATACACTGTGAACTCCTGGTCTACCATTTGACCACCATTGTTGTGATGCAGTGCATGCACATGTGCCTCAGGAATTCCATAGCGACGTGAGCCTAGCATGTGTGGCAATGGTCGTGGAGCCACTACAGGTCCGGAATATGCAGAATTAGAGTGTTCTGCTCTCTTGCGATGCATCTGCAAGACAAATCAGTCGAAAGTTGTGCTTGTATACTAAATAAACATACCAGCTTCACAATAAACTTCTTGGCTTTATTAACACAGTCTTCCTCCCATTGACTATTCATCCATGACATCCGCATCACAGGGTCAATAACTACATAAGTAATCATGAGATCAACATTTATTAAAAAAAAACACAGGACTAACACATAGTGACAGCATAAGCATGTGTCACACTCATCCGATTAGTGTATTTGCTTGCCCAAGTTAAGCCTATGTCGACGATAGGCTTACAGTGAGGAACGTGCAGGCCAATAGATTCCCAGCTCTTGATCATTTCTTCAAACACTGGAATGGCATAGCTCAGTGAGGGAGTGGTTTCACTGGAGAGCTTTGCTGGGTGGCATGGGGTGTGTTACAAGTAACATCGGCTACATGGCCCCCCTATCATTTTTCCCCTTCGTCCTCGCCCTCGTATGCCTCCGGCTCGTACTTCTTTACCGACTATCCGTTGACCAGATCCTCGGGACCGTTCCCGTCCCTCATCCCCCTCCTATCGCACCAATGTGCGCACGTGCCTTCGGGCTATGACTCGTTCTGACTCGTGCCACCAATGTGGCTTTCCTTATCTTGTCTTATCTTTCCTTTGACTCGTGCATGATGCACATTGTATCATTTACCGTTGGATCGTTCCAACGTTTCTCGGTCTCATTCCACATTCGACCTCACATCACTAATCAGGCTGTGCTACCAGCGTACCTATACCCTTTCCGTTTCCCCTTTACCCTTACCTACAGTACGGTAGCCTTGCCCTTAACCCTTTCCACTTAGTATAAGTAGTCGGTCACTCTGTACTAGATTCCCTAACTTGAATCTACTCAATCTTCCCTCGAACATACTTTCCTCTGAAGCCCCCTCAGCTTCAGTCTCTAGTATCTCTTCTTAGGTGCTCATCGCGCCTAAGTCTACCTCGATCGACTACCTCATCGTTCAGACAAGATCGTCCTTACTTTGAGATTGTCAGTGACTTTGAAGACATCCGTCTTAGAAGTCACGTGACACGCGCGTCTCTGATATCTGCCGACTCGACGTCGCCAGTCTCAGTCGCTACACCGGACCCTTCCGGTTACGTCACGAACGTTAGCGGACGACGCCCCTCTCAGGGCTCCGCATAAACAGATCTATTTGAGTGCGTAACAAAAGATTCAAGTTTCCCCTTTTTTTTGCGCCCTGCCATCCGCACGGCCATTAACCGACAGACACCACGACTACCTGGACTCCGAAGTACCCTTGGGAACGCGATCCCAACACTCCGGACTCCGAAGAAGAAGAATCGGAAGAAGACCATACGTCCTCCGACGAGTTTCCCGACGAACAACCGTACGGCAACCTCAACTCGAACCCTGGAACAAGAATGTCCGGAGGCCCCACCCAACAACCGACAGTGGTCATATCCAGGCCTGAACTAAAGGCTGGAGTACCACAGAACTATGATGGAAACATCGATGATGCCGAGCGCTGGATGTACTCGGTGGAGACATACTTCCTCATCAACTCGACGATCTACAACTCCGACCAAACCAAGGTCGCTGTTGCACTCCAGTACATGAACGATGGAGACGCCCGCGTCTGGGCCGACACCTTCTACTGAGCAGCCTTCGACAAACCTGCCGTCGACTTCGGCAGCTGGAAGGACTTCAAGAAGGCGTTCACCGAATCCTTCCACCCGGTCGACCGGATGACTGAGGCTCTAACCAAGCTTCACGGTTTGAGCCAAACCGGCGACGTGATGCCCTACATTGCGACGTTCAAGACCCTGTCATCCACTGCTAGTCTCAAGCAGGATGTCGCCCTCATTCACTTCTTCGAACGAGGGTTGAAACCAGGACTTCGGACCGCCATCTACGGGAAGGAGGTCGTCCCCACCACCATTGATAAATGGTACACTGCCGCGATACAGTTGGAAGCCAACTACAAGCGATCAAGAGCAGTTGTGTCCAACAACAGATCGGTACGCCCTTCCGGCCACCGGCACGTCCCCAAGCCTCAGGTCCGCCAACGCGACCCTGATGCTATGGACGTTGATCATTCCCTCACGCCCGAGGAACGACAGAAGTGCTTCGATAAAGGCCTTTGCTTCAAATGCAAGGAAAAGGGCCATCGAGCAAACGACTCCTGGTTCCACCCGAAGGTGCGCCGAGGAGACAAGAACGATGAAGAAGACAAAGGCAAGAAGCCAAGCAAGTCTGGCGTCCGCCAGCTTGATGAGTCTTCTGACGAGGAAGACATGGAAGTCAACCTTGTCAAAAGAAAGGATTTTTAAAGAGAGGGCTTGTTGAACGGTCAATTCCCTCTATCTGCGCATTGTATACTAAAGCTGTTGGTAAATCCAACGAGTTTCGTGTCCCGGTGACACTTTTCTCTTCTTGCAGTGCCAAAACCGTTCAGTCGACCGCCATCATCGACTCAGGGGCAGGTGGGACCTTCATTAGCTATGACTTCGTCAAGCGAAATGGGATCCGGACCCACCTACTCAAGAAACCCTTCCGGATCACCACAGTAGACGGAAGCCCGTCCTCGGCAGGACAGGTAACCCAATACTGCATGCTATTCATTCGTCTCGATCGGAGACTTATGTATGGAAAGTTCAACGTAACGAAACTTTCCAAGCATGATGATCTACTTTTTGGAAAACCTTGGCTTAGTGCCATGATGCCCAATATCGACTGGAAGGCCAACACGATCTCCCTGCCTGCGACCAATAGGTCAAAGGAGGTGGAGAGGGAACTCAATGCCTCCCGGCGAGAAAGCAAGGCCAAGCCATATCTCTTTCGTGGAGAAAAGGCTGTCCTAGAAGAACTCGACGATGAGGACTTTTCACCCCTCAAGCGACTCCCCAAAGGCACTCAACATTGCCTCGAGGAAATCAAGAAACGCAAGAAGCGTAACAAGAAGAAGACGGCGCCAATCATCGTGCCCTTCGAAGACACCGACTTCAACACTATGGACGATGTCTGGGTCGGACAGACCCATCTCGCGGATAAAGTTGAGGAGATCTCCACTTATCCCCTCACTGACGATGAAGTTCTAGTGGAATATGCTTCGGACGGAACATCCGTCCGGATCATCGAGAACATCTCTTTCGACACCCCGCTTACCAAGGACGGGACCTCAAAGAAAGAAATCCGGAAGGCTCTCCATCAACGAGCAAAACCTCTCCGGAACCTCTGGATCCTCGCTTCCCAGCAGGACTACACGAAGACCTCCAACAAAGCTCAAGAGTTTGCCATGGAGGACGCACAGGAGAAGAAGAAGAAATCATTCGAAGAACTGGTACCTTCCTATCTTCATGATTTTGCTGACATCTTCGCAAAGGACGGTCTAAACAAACTCCCTCCCTCACGACCGGGAGTAGACCACAAGATCGAAACAAAGGAAGGCTTCATTCCGAAGTCTTCTCGAGCCTACCCGCTCTCACCAAAGGAAACCGACGCTGTCAAAGCGTTTTTGGACGAACACCTCGCCAAAGATTTCATCCAACCCTCGAAGTCTCCTCAAGCTGCTGGATTCTTCTTTGTCGGCAAGAAGGACGGGTCCCTCCGCCCCTGCCAGGACTACCGATACATCAACGAATGGACGATCAAGAACGCGTACCCACTCCCTTTGATACCACCCTTGCTTGCGAAACTCAACAAGGCGCAATGGTTCACAAAGGTCGACGTACGATCAGGATATAACAATATCCTCATTCATCCCGACGACAGGTGGAAAGCCGCGTTCTCCACCTCATACGGGCTCTTCGAGCCCAAGGTAATGTTTTTCGGATTGTGCAATTCACCCGCCACCTTCCAAGCTTACATGAACCAGACATTTTCAGAAGAACTGAACGAAGGATGGTTAATCGTCTATATGGACGACATCCTGATCTTTTCAGCTAACCTGGATGAACACCGGCAGAGGACCCGCCGAGTGTTGGAGAAACTCCGCAAAGAGTCTCTCTTCCTCAAACCCGAGAAATGTACTTTCGACTCTCAAGAAGTCGAGTACCTCGGTATGATCATCCGACCTGGACAGGTCACTATGGACACTGCCAAGCTGAAAGGCATCAGCGAATGGCAACAACCCTCTTCGGTCAAGGACGTGCGGTCCTTTCTTGGATTCTGCAACTTCTACCGTCATTTCATTCCCCACTACTCCAACATCGCACGCCCTCTCCTCGATCTAACCAAGAAGGAGATCCCCTTCTCTTGGTCCGATTCTACCGAAGCTTCATTCCAGCATCTGAAGAAGCTTTTCACCACCGAACCAGTTCTGCGGAACCCCGACTCTTTGCGACAGTTTGCACTTGCAACTGACGCCTCGCTCTTCGCGACCGGAGCAGTCTTGCTCCAGACGGATAGCAATGGGGATTACCACCCCTGCGGCTATCTCTCCCAGTCCCTCAATGCGGCCGAACGGAACTATGAGATCTACGACCGGGAACTCCTTGCCATCATCCGAGCCCTTCAGGCTTGGAGGCACTTCCTCGAAGGAAACCCTCACCCGGTCATTGTCTTCACAGATCACAAGAACCTGATCTATTTCCGCTCCGCGCAACGACTCACCCGACGACAGGCCCGGCGGCACCTCACGCTCACCAACTTTGATCTGGAACTTCACCACGTTCCTGGAACAAAGCTCGCTGCACCGGATGCCTTATCCCGACGTCCAGACCACGCTATAGCTGGTCAGGATAACGAGGATCGTATCCTCCTCCCTGACACCCTGTTCACCCGTCTAATCGACGTTGAACTCGCAGATGAGTTTCAACGACTCTCTGACGACCCCTCCGACCAGACTGTGAAAACAGCCTTGGACGCTCTCTCCGGGGTGTGCGCACCCCCCATGAAGTCTGCACTTTCCGATTGGAGGTTCACCGATGGTGTTCTCTTCTATAAAGATCGTGCTTATGTTCCCCCCGACCTCCGGCATCGCGTGTTGTCTCTACATCACGATCACCCTACCGCCGGGCACCCCGGGCGTTCCGGTACCGAATGGAACGTCAAGAAATCCTACTGGTGGCCCGGAATGGGCTCCTTCATTAGGAAATATGTCGATGGCTGCGCCATGTGCCAGCAGATGAAGGTCAACACCCACCCCACGACACCTCCCATCACCCCGATACCCTCCTCGGCCCTCCGGCCCTTCGCTCAGGTTTCGGTTGATTTAATCACCGACCTCCCCGAGAGCGCCGGCTACGACTCTGTCATGGTCGTGGTAGACCATGGGCTTACGAAGGGGGTAATTCTCTGCCCTTGCAGAAAAACCATCACAGCGGAAGGAGTAGCTGAACTTTTC